CTCACAATTTTTTTTCTGCAGATCAGATGAAGTAGAAGTGTCCTAAATTTCTATTACTGTTGGTCAGTCAGAAGGTTTGGATGTATAGTGTAGTTATGTAGTTGATGCATTTGTTGATCGAACACATCACACTAATGATAACGCAACCAATGGCTAAAAGAAGCAGGTTATAGATAAGGAAAACGGAAGCTCTTATTCAGACATAATCTCAGAATAAGTAGAAGAACTCTGATGGTGAGATATGGGCATTATGTGAGCTACTGAAACAAGATATTAGACAGAGGCTTTTTATAATATAAAATGTAAATGAGGGACTTAAGCTGGAACAATGGTTGTTAGGCTTGGAACAGCTTAAAGCAGGATTCAGGACAGGAGAAGTTAATTTCATGCCCTGATACACATCTACTAATGCAAACAACCACTGTAGTATAGTAAATAGAACATTAGAGGGCTGTTTCACAAAAACAGAATTTAAAAAAGATCCAGGATAATATAAAAAAAGTCAGACTTGACCTGGTCTACCAAGTGCATCCTGGCTTTATACATTACACAAAGGCAAAACCAGGTTGAGGGGGTTCAGCTATGTAGGTGAAGTCAGATCTAGGCAATTCGGACGAATGCACGTTCATGGGTTTCTTCAGCAGACCACGAGGTTAACCACACATTCACTGATGCTGACATATAGAAGCTGCGTTCCACTTAGCTGTGCCGGAATACCGTGTTAAGTAGTGTTGTTAAAGTGAACGGACTCTGCCAACCTGCTCATACAGCACCGTGCTGGTCAGGTTCTCGAGTACACCCGTTGAAGACGCGTGCAGCATACTCCAGAACCACAGAGCATGCCCACTCATGGACAATTATGGGGAATGCAAGCACATAATCTGTGAAGACGGAAACAAGGCTGCTGTAATAAAAGTGAGAACAAGCGTGGCAGGCAGTAGTGGACTGACTGAATGCGTCAAGTCATTTAAAATATACTTTTACATGGTTCTTAATTGAAACCATGTTACTCAGGAAATATACCATATAGATGAATTACATTTACTAATCCACAACCTAAGTGTGCCAATATGATTCAGTCTACAAATGATGGAATCTGGGTGATAGAAATCTGATGAAATGTGGCCTGTTCCCTCTTACAGACCTAAAACTTCTTGTCAGCTTACTTCTAAACCTGATAAATGCACAACAAGTAGATCTTAATGTATAGGGCTGTTTTGGGTGACTGATATCGCTTTGATATTATTAACAGTGATTAGCTATTTTTTAAATTTCAGTGTTCTATTTAATACAGACTATTTAGTATTAATGTAAATATATATGAAAAATAGGCACATATGGCTCCAGGTCTACATAGGCCAATAATCAGAGTGTTATGACAGTTCCTTGAGCTTGGCATTTTAAATAATTTGCAAAAAAATTAAACATTGGACATTAAAGGAATAAACTTTGCTTTATAATTGAAAACACAGTCTTTATATATTGAACTTAGCCTGTATAATTAATGTGATTATCATATCAACTTTAAGGAGTTTGGTGTCTGCAAAAATAAAGTGACAGCACTTTCACCTTTTTGTGGAATACCTATATAGGCTATACTGTTAACTGTAGACTAAAAAACTGCATGCAGTATATAAGACTTTATACAGTATATTGCTCATTGAAGACCGATTTGCAGCTTTATTTATAGCTCGAACTGGTTCACACAACTATCGTAAATTCCCCTAAAGGATCGGCACCTGAAACATAAGCACCCAGTACAAACATGTGGCTGTTATCTGTCAAACAGGGGTCTTGAAGCATTATGTACAAAGGATTATATTGATTTAACTTACAATTATCAGGGGCTGTTCCCTTGACTATAGATAGCCAATCTAACAAAGTCTTGCCCTCACATAAATGTTTCTGAGCCTCAGTCGATCGGTATCCCCAAGATGTAAGTCTAGTGTTCCATCCTACATCCCCCAATACGCACAGAGCTTAGAATGAAATAATGACCGCATATTAAACTGGACATAGGATAGTATACAAATGTATTTATCAAACTGTCTTAATTGCTCTTGCTGAGGCCACCCAGAGCAATCAAGAATGTCACATGCATCTACCATTAAAGTGGAAGTTTTACCCGAAATAAAAACCAACTCAGGTGGAATGAGGACATTAGCTCTTTACTCACGGTGTATGTGGGACCTTGTTTCCCACCACAATATGGGTACCACTATAACTAGGCTAACGAAGCCTAGAACACAGAGAACCATGCCAGGATGACTGCCTAAACATGCCAGACTAGGCATTTTGTCTGATTTCCATGTCAACGTTGTTGTTCTCTGATAAATATTACACTAGTGTAGGTCCTCTTCTGACTGTGGCTCTGGTTCTGCAGGATTGTAAATCGACGCAGGTAATGAGGTTCTTAAATCAGCCCTGACCTTATTCACTGTCCGTCCAGTTGGATCCTCAGCTGGAGAGCAATGTGTCTTATGGATCCACTTACTTAGCTTGTTCTCAGTGAGCCACAGTTTAACACAGTGTGTGGTAGCTTCTGCTACCCTGTAGGGTCCTTTCCAACATGGTTCTGACCAGTGAAGTTTATGCACCTTTTGATAGACCCAGCTGTCAACTGCAACTGGTGTTGGTTCCTCAGGTTGGTCCCTGCTCAGGATTTCAATAACCTCCTCAGAGACACTTATCACAACATTGCTCAATCGTCTGACATACTCACTCATGTCAGCATGCTGCAAAAGAAGAGGTGTTGAATCTCTAGGCATAAAAGTTAGAGGGAAACACATTTCCTAACTGTGCATATGACAAATAAACACTTTGGCCTTTGACCTTTGAACAGTTAGAGGACAGGGCATCTTCCTCCCTGTCAGGATTTCATGTCGGCTTACATTGAGTGTCGCATTCGGAGTGGATCTGAGGTTGAACAATACAATAGGTAGAGCTTCAACCCAGGTTAAGTTAGTGTCTGCACAGACTTTCGCGAGCCCTTCCTTTATAGTTCTGTTTGCACGCTTAACAAGCCCTTGAGAGGCTGCATGATAGACAGCCCCAAACTTATGTTTTATCCCAAACATCTGTTCAACCAGATGTAGATCATTGTTTGAGAACTGTGTTCCATTATCAGATCTGATAATCACAGGTACCCCAAACCGGGGGATCACTTCCTTAGTGAGCCACTTGATTACCTCTTTACCTGTCTCTGTTTTGTGGGTACAGCCTCTACCCATTTGGAAAATGGATCCACACAGACAAGTAAATATTGTTTTCCTTCAACTCTTTTATCAGCTCCCATATCTCTTTCCAGGGAGCATCTGGAACTGGAAATCCCCCTAGCCCCGCCTTCAGCGCAGCTCTGGGGTTGAACTTATTACATGTCTCAACAAAATACTTGGTGATATCCCTCAAATGCGGATGCCACCAATTTTGAGAGACCAGACTATTAATCTTGGAGCTCGCACAGTGCCCTTTACTGTGCGCCTCTTGACACAGCAAACTAAGTAGTCCTGCCAAGGCCACTATTTTACCTTCAAAGTTTCTCCACAGTCCTGTCTGATCCTTAGATGCCCCTTTGCCTAGCCACGCCTGCTTTTCAGTAGGAGCAGCTTTATTCTGTATTTCCCTTGGTCCTGTCTAATCCTTAGATGCCCCACCTGCTTTTCAGTAAGAGCAGCTTTATTTTGTATTTCCCTTATAGTCTGCAAGCTCAACTCTGTCTCACAAACATGACCCCCTTCTGCAGGGTCTTAACTCATCTGTTTAGCTCCCTGAGCTGGACCTTCTGGGTCCTGAATGCCTGTCCTAGGCTCCTTAAACTCTGACTCCTTAGGTCTGGATCCTGTCTGTACTGAGCTTCCAAAGCTCTGACCCCCTAGGTCTTGGATCCCTCTCATAACTGAGCTCTCTGTTCTCTGATAAACCATTAATACTATACAAAAACGCAATATAATAAAGCCTGGCATTACAGAGAGAGAGGCATTTTGCGTATTGAGGGGATGAATACCATTTTTACTAAAGCAAGAAACCCAGTTAAGACAATGCCAAACCTCTACACTACAACTGCATCTGGAGCAGTTCAGAATTAATATTTATCTAATAACATGACAAAAACAAAAAATTAAATTAAATACATCACACTCTCCGGAGACGCTATTTATTTATTTATAGACAAAATCCATTCTCCGTTCTTTGCTTAGGAAGACTTCAATGACTGTCACAGATCTCTGCGTTTCAGTTCCATCAGTAAGTCTTTTTCTATAGCCATGGAGGCCAAGGTTGCGCGTCGACTCTGTCCAGTCGTATTCCTTGCATACATTTTTATTCTCTTGAGGGCAGAGAATGTCCGCTTAACAGTTGCAGTGGATGTAGGGATAGTCACGGTTAGACATGCCAATCTGTACAGCCGGGCTGAGACAAGCTAGCTAGCTAGCTTCGGGGTTGGCCGACCTCTCCTCACAATGTCTACCTTTTCTGGAAAAGTCCACCTTGAAAATTGATTTTTAAATATGTCCGAGACCAAGTCAATTTCTCCTCCTCCGTCAGCCATTGTGAGCGTAAGAAATTCTAACTAAAGTGTATTAATGTGTGCAGATCACTACAGATGTATTTTGCTAGTCGAACTTCACTGTAACAGTTTTGCTCTGACCAACCAATCAGAAGACGGGAAAATGCTGACATCATTGTAGGCCAGCTAGCTGGCCCTGTTAGGCGAATTTGAAATCTGATTGGTTAAAGAAACAGTATAGTATGTTACATCGGCCAGCACTTCTGATTCTGAAGGCCCTGGGCAGATTAGATTGACATGGCAATACATAGAGGCTGAAATCTGATTGGGCAAAAAATCTAACATCCACATACACCTACTGGAAGCAGTGCAGCCAAGAGAAATGCTACGAAATGAAGAGAATAGACTGTTGGGAATAAATTAATACAATTTCATGGCACAAATATTAGAATTTAGGTTGTAAATGTAGGTCAGTGCTTCTGATAGTGTTTAGGCCAGCAGAGAACGCCTTGCTGGCCCTGATGGCCCACCACTGATGTTTATATATACAAAGTATATATATACATACTGTACTCACCATTCAGTTCATAGTTTGTTTCCTTTGAGAACTCTTCTTTGTGAGTATTAACACCAATTTATTCCACTATATGTGATAAATTTCATTGTTATACAATGGTCTACTGGGGCTCAGGGAGCCACAAACGTCATTCAAGTCCTAAAATATCTGAAACATACAGACAGTTTTTCATCCTTCCAAGCCATTGTATATTATCATGCTAAATACTTAACAGAAGCGTCGGCAGGACTCTTTTTTCCCCACCAGTTTAGAGTCCACTCACTGCCTCTAATGCATTCTGGATACTTTGCTTTCAGCAACTTTGCAATGCTCTGACAATAATCTACAGTCACAGGTGAATTCACAAATTCCATAAGAGTTGGTCAATTGTACAGTCAAGCTTCTTAGTCACATTTGGAAAGTCAAGTGGTGCCAAGTTCATGAAACCTGGTAAGTCATGCCAGCATCACACTACCATCACCCGCTCTGTGTTTGATACATCATTCTCATTGTTTGGCCTATGTCAAACAGAAAATATTCACCATGTGCCACCTTTTAAAGATTACCTGATATATATCAAAAAGAAATACAATGTCAGATAAGTGTGATATTTTGGAACATAAGCCAATTTGCACAATAAATATGTAGCTAAAGTTAGCATTTGATTAGCTTTGCTTAGCATAAAGATTGGAAGCAGCAGGAAACAGCTCACTATTTATCACATAACATTACATTGATTCCTTGGACTGATTCCCTGGATGACTTATACCAAGAAATTGCCTGGCATATAACATGATAACATAGCAAGTTGCTGTTCAGTTGTTGCTATAGTCAGCTTTAGAGGTGCTCATGGGTAAATTTTGTTACTTTTAAAAGAACCATAGGCAGATATCGCAAACAGTGAAATCTTTGCAGTTCCCACACACAGTTGAGGCAGTTTGCAGATTTCCTTTGTCATGCATGGAATAAGTTGACCAAATAAAACAATCACCCATATCAAGACTGGGGCCTCAAACTCAGTTGTTCTTCATCCTTTTCCATTCTTATCTCCTTCTAGGCCAGGATATCACTCCTCCTGCTGCACCAGACCACCAGGGCAATCATGGCAAATGTGAGGAAAATGGGGATGAGGATAAGGATGACCAGCATGTCATCTGGTGGGTCCACCCATACTACCTGCGGCATTGTGCAGTTGGAGAAAAAATGCTTGTGTATGTGGATGATGTAGCCCTCCACCAGTGGATTGGGCCAGTAGCACTGGAGGATGTGGGACCTATTCTCTGTGCAGAGGGTGAAGAAGTGGTATTCACTGGGGAGGAGGATGGTACAAAGAAAGGGAAAGGATTAGAAAAACCTCACCATTGACTCCAGACATATTCCTAAAAGGTGAAATGTTTAGATTTTTTAAAACTTTTGACCATATTTGCTTTGTACTTATACATCAGTTTTGGTATAAAGTCTGTTTTAAAACATGGGCACAGATCATTATGAAAATACTAAAATGCATATCATAATGAAGTTGGACAGTTTCTCATCTAAAGGTGAAAGTGAGTTATTCTGCACACAGTTATTTAAAGGACACAGAGCCATTTAAACCACCAACCATTGCTTCAGAGGTTCGGCATGTAATCCATCACTGTGACTGAGGGTGTCCTTTTTTTGCTCCTTTTTTCACACCAGACATCCCAGGATTATGGCTTAGCTGAAACAGTTCTGTGAGCAAGAATGGTTTAATATTCCTCCTGAACATTTAGCAGGTTTGATCCACAGCTACAGGAAGAGTTTGTTTGATGTTAATGCTGTCAAAGGAGTTTGAGTGAGTTATTAAACCCAATGATTCAGTTGCGTTTGTCAACCAGCACTGAATTTTTAATAATTGGATAGTTTTTCCCCCAAACCCTCTTGTGTCTGACCATTTTCCAATAACTTTTGAATTTACATTAATGGATTATATTCTATGTGGGAAACAATTCCACTACAGTAGATGTTTATCTGACAATGCTGTTACCAAGTTTAAGAAAATAATTCCATCATTATTTACTTCAGTGCCATGTGCCAACACAGTGGAGGGAGGCCACCTTAACTTTACTCCCACACAAGTCGATAATCTTGTTGATAGTACTGCAGCTTCCCTGCGTAATACACTTGATACTGTTGCCCCTCTGATAAGGAAGGCAGTGAAACAGAGGAGGCCCCATGGTACAGCTCGCAGCTTTGCTCCCTAAAGCAGGCATCACAAAAACTGGAAAGGAGGTGGCACTCCACTAAGTCAGAAGAGTTTTTCATAGCCTGGAAAGATGGCTTAATAAAGTATTTAAAAAGTTCTCCGAAGTGCCAGAACTGCCTATTATTCATCACTAATAGAAGACAATAAGAACATTAGCCAGGTTGACAAAGAGCCACAGTGCTACTTAGCTTGATATTCCCCTAGATCTCAGCAGCAATGACTTCATGAGCTTCTTTACAAATAAAATTACTACTTACAACTCTTATAGTACAACATCTTTAAAAGCATCTGCTTCTCCCATAGATCTCTCTGAGTTGACCGCAAGAAGAAGAGAAGAGACACACAGCATACTGAGGAAGTAACAAAAATGATGGTTTCAAGCCTAAAAGTAAAAATTTGACTGATAATTGTTTGATCAATGTCTAATCAATGGTAATCCATGTTTAGTCAAAGTATTCAAAATATAAAGATTTATGTTCTGATTTTGAGGCATTGATAGTTTTGTATGAAATCAGTGTGTAATTCTGATGATGGAATTGTGATATTTCAGTCAGATATGAGTCTCTTGTATTTTTGTTATGTATTCAGATGGTTTAGTTTTCTAGAAAAGAGGAAGTAGAATCCAAGGCTGGATCACAGTGGGGCAGAGGCCGGTTACGGGCAGTGGGCTTGGACTGACAGTAAAAAATATGCAATACTTCAGAACAATATGATTTTGCACGCCAAATAAGGTATCAAGTGCAAACTGCAGCATCTGGTTGGATGAGAGGACAAAAATCACCGACCAGAACCCTATAAAAACTGAGGCAAAAAGAGGAACGGGGAGTCTTATCATGGCTGCAGCTGGAGGCTCTGTCCGGTTGACTATCTAACTTCCAGGAGACCGAGGACTGCGGAGAGGCAGTCCGGGGAGAGGGCACCCCTCTGGGGGTGCGCCCCCGCAGGCATCGGCCTGTCAGAAGACGAAGAGGCATGCCAGCGAGGGAGTGAGCCCCTTTTCTGGATGCTTGGACACAGGCATTGGCCTGTCAGAAAAGGAAGAAGCATGCCAACGAGGGATGATGAAACTGTGGCAGAGCCTCACAGTTAAGCAGGGAAACTGAATAGCTGCTTCAAAGATAATTGATGAAGAACTGAAGAATTTTAACAAAAAGCCACAATCCACCCAACCTGGTGGGGAAAGGATGGCTTGAAAAGAAGATAGTTTTAGACATTTTCATGTCTTTATGAAGATTTGGACCAAAAGGAGACTGTTTATATACATTTCCTTGTCTTTTATGCGTCTCTTTTATGCTTTCCTGAGTCACACAAGATTTTACCAAGAAAAATATTGTTTATCTGAATTTGTCCTATTTCTCTCTTTGAGAGTTCTGAGGATTGAACCGAATGGGCTCTGATATTTTTGTTTATAAATTCCTTTCCCTTGTGAATGCTTGAATCATGGCAAAAAGGAAAAAAGAGGAACAAGCATTGCCCCAATCGGCCACCACCCCACCTAGAGCCAGCTAAGGATCGGTGACGTGAGACCTTTGACTTTTATTCAGATCAAGAGCCTAGCTCAACCATAATGATTTTAATCAGTATGATCATTTTAAATTTATGTTTAGAATTCGTAGTTGTTGATTCATTTAGATTGGAAGCCAATTATTGATGATTTTAAGGTTTATATTTTATTGCTTGTTGCTTTGCTGTAGCTCTGTTAAGCTTCTATATAAAATTCCTGAAAAGGTTTAACACTCTCTGTGGTTACTGAGTCAAGTTCGATGTTATTGACATTCCTATGATTTTGGTGAATTAACACTTTTAAGTGGTAAGGGTTACGACACACATTTCTCAGTGTTTGGTTACCCAGTTCCCAGTGAGTGTGATTATCTAAGTCTTAGTGAGTGTGTGAGGTTGCATAACAGTTCACAGGGTTGACAGAAGGACCAGATTGAACTGCTAAAATGATTTTTAGACCGATACATCAGAAAAGGGTTTACAATTCATAGTATTGATAGTATGCCAATCTTCTCAACAGTGTCTCAGAAAGTTAAAACAGGCAGTGGCACCCCAGCGGTGTTAACAAGCTGCCTGGCTGCGGAAACCTCATGGTGACAACTGTTGGACTTAACTGTCCTGCATGTTTGTTTCTGAGGACGAGTCAAAGTCAGAACAACCTTTAAGATATTTATTACAATGTCAAGGAAAATCAATTACAGAGCACTCTGGGTTCCACTATTCTGAAGCCCTTTCTTAACACAAGTGTGGCTCGATCTTTCATCAGAAAAGAGGAGCCCCTAACCTTTCTGAACCCCGTAAGTGACACAGCTTTCATTGGTTATTTCAGACTAAATTTATCACTTCCTCAAAGAGCCAGAGTATACTGGCTTATAAATGTTTCTCAGTACAGTAACATCTGAGGGTTAAGGGGGTAGCTGCCACAATAACTGCAGGTTGCTATTATTTGGGAGGTTTGGGCTCTTATCCTGGATTAATAGCATGAAAGAAGGAGGTCTGCAGGAAACTCTGTTCACAGGTTCATGGTAGTCAATTACTGAGTGAATATCTCCGTCATACAACCTCAAGCAGTGTTTGGAGCTTTAATATGTTTCAAATATGCCACCTTAGTGTGAGAGGTAAGCTTTATTCCTATGTCCAGGGGTTAGCATATTGTGGCCTTCAAAAAAAATGCTTAAACTAAATCATATCTCTTAGACCCCATCCCAACCAGGCTGCTCAAAGACATTTTACCCCTAAGCAACACATCCATTTTAGATCTGATTAACCTCTCTCTATTAACAGGTTGTGTTTCACAGGCTTTTAAAGTTTCTGTAATTAAACCTCTACTCAAAAAGCCTACTCTTGACCCAGGTGTTCAAGCTGATTATAAACCGATATCCAATCTCCCGTTTATTTCTAAAATTCTTGAAAAAGCTGTTGCAAAGCTTGTACGAGCATGATTTGTTTGAGGATTCTGAGTCATGGAACAAATTGCACTGGTGAAATTCTCCACAGATAGTCTCAGATAATGAACTCATCTCTATGCTTGTCCTCCTAGAGCTTAGTACTGTATTTGACACCACTGATCACAACTTGGGGTGTGACGATACATTCAGCTGACGAGCCAAGACGATGTAAGATATTTGAAATGATGCTTTAACACTAATCTTCAGTGACAAAATACATGACTGGAAAAAGTCTTTTACTCAATTGAAAGTCACAACATGCAAAACAATGCAGGTAAACGTTGAAATGTTTTAACTGTCATTTGTAATGAATGTCTGAGTATGAATTATCATATGGTGGCACAGTGGTTAGCACCATATGGTGGCACAGTGGTTAGCACCATCGCCTCACAGCGAGAAGGTTCTGGGTTCAGGCCCCACCCGGGGCCTTTCTGTGTGGAGGTTGCATGTTCTCCCCGTGCTTGCGTGGGTTCTCTCCGGGTACTTTGGCTTCCTCCCACAGTCCAAAGACATGTTGATTGGTGTCTCTAAATTGCCCATAGGAGTGTGTGTGGTTGTTGGTCTATGGGTTGGCCCTGCGATGGACTGGCGACCTGTCCAGGGTGTACCGATTGCTGGCTGGGATTGGCTCCGCCCAGAAAATGAATGAATATGCAGTAAAAGACAGAATGAAATGCAAAACTGTGTAAGGTTTTACATGAGTCTCTTTGGACCTTTTAACTGTCCATGGACTATGCATGAGCTTCTAACTTCAAAGTGAAGCTGTGTGTGACCATATATGCTATTTTCAAACTCACCATACCATACCTGATACTGACATTATCCAGCAAGGACATACGGGGGACAATCGGGAAGTGGTTATAGGGCCAGACGAGTAAAAGCAGAACACTTTTTAATCAGAGCACTGGAAACAAACAAACAATATGCAATGCAGGAGTCTGATTCAACATGTATCACTCTCAGGTTGATAATCCAATCCAGGGTCAGAGCCAGCAAACTCATACATCCAAGGTATTCACAAGAAGAACAGCCAGTAAGGGAAGACCATAAGCCAATGCACAGAACACAATCAGAATCAGAAGGGTTAGGCAGTAAACAGTGGTCACAAGGCAACGTGGGGTCAGAGCTGGAATAACAGGTACAAGAAAAGAAAAGAACCCCACCGCCACCGCCACTGTTTTGCTCTGACCAACCAATCAGAGGACGGAAAAATGCTGACATCATTGTGGGCCAGCTAGCTGGCCCTGTGAGGTGAATTTGAAAACTGACTGGTTAAAGAAACAGTCCCATTGCTAATATAGTTTAAGTTACATGGGCCAGCACTTCTGATTCTGAAGGCCCTGGGCAGATTAGATTGACATGGCAACACATAGAGGCTGAAATCTGATTGGACAAAAAAATCTAACATCCACATACACGTACTGGAAGTGGTGCAGGCAAGAGAAGTACCACGAAATGAAGAGAATAGACTGTTGGGAATAAATTAATGCAATTTCATGGTACAAATATTAGAATTTCGGTTGTAAATGTAGGTCAGTGCTTCTAATAGTGTTTAGGCCAGCAGAGAAGGCCTTGCTGGCCCTGACGGCCCGCCACTGTTATTGGTAATATGGGAATTGGGCTTGATATTTTAGTCTTCTTACCCACTTCATTTAGCAGTATAAGAACAGATTTTGTCCAATTTATTTTGTATAATCATTGCTGCTTGAAGTCATCAAACACTGTTGAGAGAGAGGTAATAAAGTTTTGTCTCAGATGTTGAGCCAGCAGTTATTTATTTGAAAAGGAGTATCACTTAAACTGCTACAGCTTCTCCTTTGAATGAATAATTTCCACATGTGGTCATACCTGATGAAGTATGTGAGGTTACACCAGTACTGTGGATCTATATGAGCCATGTCCTGCTTGAAGTCCTCTCCACAAACCTCCACCTCCCACTGCAAGCGGGACTCATTGCAGGCTGTCGTCTGCTTGGGGGGAATGGGCTCTATATTGACCCGGCCTGCGGCTGAGAGCACATAAAGAATAGAGCAGAATATTTACAGGTCATGTGCTGATGCACTCTCTGTGCATGTGAGTGTGTGTGTGCGTGACTTCTAGCAGCTTCTGATTCTGATTTTGATACTTTCCATACTGTTCATCATTCATTTCTACCCAGTATGTTTTTGGAACTGTGTAAATGTTGCTTTCAATAAGTCTCACTTCCCCTGTCTTGTTTTCTCTTTGATGTTGTTGCTGTTTTCTCTCTTAGGAATGGATGTACTTACCTGACAACCCTCTCATCATCAAGGCATTGACTGTAAAGAAACAAAATAAGAAAAGACAGTTAGAATGGTTTGATCCCAGGTTTCAGTATGTTGAAAGTTGAATGTTTAGTAAGAACATTTTATTACTGAATTAACATTTTCTGATACAGATGTGACACCTTCTAATTTGCCATCCCATCTCTTTCTGTAATTGTTATAAATACAGTTACAATCTTTGTTCATGATGGATTTGTGGCCCATGTCCTAACTGAATGCTAATGTCCACATATCCAAATTTGCAGAGTAAAAGATTAGCACAAAGATTAAGCCAAAGGCACCCAACCACAATAGACCTGTTAGTCTTTGTAGAGTTCAAAATTGATTGCAAATCATTTAACTGCATTTGCTGTGTCAAGTTTCACATCAAAGACTTTGCATTTTTAGCTTTTTTGTGAAGCAACTGTGAAAACTGCAGTGAGCAATTATATACCCTACTAATGGACAGCCACAGTTAGTTAGATGATGAG